TCACGGTGGGGGCTGACGCTCCGAGAAGCTCCCTGGGACCGCTACAGGGATGTGTACCAGGGAAAAAGCACGAGCGCGCTCATCAGCTCCGCTTGCGTGCGGTGAACTTTACAGAGCGCAGCCGTGCCCCGGCATAGGAACAACCTGGGAGCGGGCCAGGAAAGAGCAGCGCTGGCAGCCCGCAGGTTGCAGAGCCGTGGGGAGCCGGCTGCTGTTTAGCACTTTATTAAAACGAACGTGAAGAGCCAGCACCTGTTTCGCCCAGACTCGTGCTCTCCCGCGGGGAAACTGCCGCCGAAGGAAAACTCAAACAGCAGCAAATGAGTTTCAGTGAGGTGGGTCCCAGGTCTCAGCCTGCTCCGGGGACGTATCATACCCTCAGATCCAAAGCCAAGGGTGACCCACAAGCGATGACGGCAGAAATAGAGGACAGGAGGGAGGGCGAGCAGCCAGCTGAACACCTAAGCCATGTGAAATGAGGCCCTGTCTGTCCCCCCCCCGGCAGATGTAACACATTTCCATTAAATCAATGTGAAAGAAGAGGAAATCTCATGTCTAAATTCAGATTAGCTGGGGCTGCGAGCTAGGAGGGGATCAACCTGGGGATACCTCCTAGCACAAACAGGACCTGAGAGGCCACCTACTCCCCCAGCGAAGAGATTGTTCTGGAAGACGTTAAAGTGCCTAAATTCACTGAAGTCCCACCGTACAGACCCATGGGGGGATAACGAGAGCCTCATCCCCTCCAGAGGCTGCAGCCACGAAAGGGGAGCGGTCCCACCCCACAGACACAGCTGGTGGGTAAGAACCTGAGCAGGAAGAAAGGAGATGGGAGACGGTGCCGGAAAAAAAATCCCCTCCGTTCACCTTGGGAAGTCTGCAAGGAGACGCCTCATCCCACTGTCTGCATTCTGCTGGCAAAGCTCATTAAAAGAGGTGGCCTTTCACTGCCCTTTTCAAACCTGGAAATTCAGGCCTCTTCCATGACAAAAAGGAAAGGTGAATTAAGAGATGAAATGCCGGAGGAGGAGGTACACCAGCCCTCCAAGCCCGGCTACAACTGTGCCCACTGCCAGCCGTGCCCAGAGGAAATCCAGGGAATCCTCCAGGCGGGCGTGCAGCCTCAGGACCTGCTGGCGCATGCTCTCCCGGTCCCCCGAGTTGTCAATGACGTGACTCGCTAATTTGCGCTTCTCATCCAGCGGCAGCTGGGAGGCGATGCGAGCTTCTGCCAGCCCGTTCCTCTTCATCAGCCGGGAGAGCTGCGTCGGCGGGTCACTGCCGGGACAGGAGGGTGGCACTGAGATGGGGGTGTGGGAGGGAAGAGGGGGTTTGCCTGCCTTCCTTGGCACGAGGGGAAAAAGCCGGGGTAAAGTGTGGGGGGGAGATGCTCCCCGCTTCGTTTCGGATCCGGCGCAGGCATCCCGCGCTCGGATCAGTGGAGCCAGCACTTGCAGCGCTGCCCAGGCTGACCCCGCTGCGTGTTTTCGGTATTCCCATGGCACATAGCACTGGGGCGGTGCCCCAAACCCTGCCCCAGTCAGCGGAGCACGGGTTGTGGAAGGTTCAGTGACAGAGATTTCCCCCGTACGATGGTGCCAGGTTTCGGGGAAACCTCAGTAAATGCCCCTCGTACACTAGGATAAAGGAAGGTGCCGCTTCTCACACCTACAGAAAAGAGGTGGTGTTATCGAAAGGCTTCACACCAAGGCCGAAGCTAAATCCTCACCGGAGCAGGAGGGACGTGACGGTCCCCCCCAGCCTCTAAGAGAGGTGGCAGCATCCCAGTCCTCATGGTTCATGTGGCACTTACCAATAAACCAAGACCGTGTATTTCATAAACTTGGTCAATCTGTTGGTCTCGAAGAGCAGAGGGATGTCGAGGATCACGTAGCGGTAGCCTGCAGAAATGACACCACCACCCCCCAAAGGGCATAGCGTTACTCAGATTCCCAAATCCCTCCTGCTGCACGCGCACCACGGCCATGGCTGCTCCAGCAAAGCAAGCGGGAGAGCTCTATAGCTCCACGATTACAGCTGAGAGGAGAGCAGAGCACGCTTGCCCTCCTTCCTCTCGGAGGGAGGAAATGATTTTGTTCCAAGTTTCCAGAGGAAAAAAAACAACAAAAAAACCCAACCACCCTAGAAACAAACCCTAACCTGGATGATCTCAGACCAAAGGTGAAGCTGCAGAAATATAACGAGGAGCTGAAATGAGAAGCTCAAATGAAAGCGCCTGTGCCTGGCTGGCGAGAGCGGCAGTCACACCGTCGTTGCTGGCCTCTCCAGGGGAGCAGTGCCCACGGCAGAATTTGCTCTCCTCTCTTTCGCTTGTCCAAGACTTCGCCAGGCTGCGGTCATTTGAGCCAATGTTTCCCAGCTCAGTTTTCCTCCCTTTATGGAAAGCTTTGGCTAAACAGTTCCATTTTTCCAATGGGAGCAAGGAAATCCTTGCAGACCTCTCACAGCTGTGACGCTGAAATGCAGGGGTGCCTCCAGGCATGGCCCCAGGGCCTGAAACCTCACCAAAACGGGCCAAGTTTGGTTCAAAACCGCCGTCACCATGCAGAGCAGCCGGCGGAGGAGAGCTCGTAACCGCCAGCCGCTGTCCTCCCGGACCCTGCAGCCCACCCCAGGCTCTCCACATGCCTCTGCCCTTCGCAAGCACCAACTCCCCCGGCAGACAGCAGCATTTGGGGACATGGGGGTACGCCCCATTGAGCCCAGAGGAGCAGGCAAGGGTAGGGAAAAGCTGCAAGTCAGGACCTCGCTCCCCTGTGCGAGGGGTGTCCCAGCCGTGGGGACACCTCCAGTTTTGGCAGCGTCCCCTCTTTATAACAACCCAAACCCCCTAACTGAGCTGGCCACGGCAATAAAAGCCTTGACAAAGACATCATCATCCAGCAAGCCACCATTTTACCAGCATCTCTGCCCAGAGAGACTTCTTGCTGCCCTACAGTTTGATCGATAAGAGCTTTCCTTACGCAGCGATCCTTAGAGACAACATCTAGCTATCCCAAATCATTAAAACCTGACTAATGAGGACAGAGCAGCCTGCTGAAGCACACAGTGCTCTCGCCGAGAGGCAGGACAGCATCCGCCTCCCGAGCCCGCAGCCCCGGGCTCAAGACTCCATCTGTGGCTCCCGGCTTTCCCGCCTGTTGCTTCCTTCGCGCTTTCTCCTCCTCCTCCTCACCCCGCAGCAGAGCACGGCCCCCGCAGTGCCCCGGCACAGGCCTATTCAGCTGTCACAGGGCTCAGCTTTGATAAGCTCCGTGAAACCAGACTGACTCTATTAAGACATCCTTCTGTCTACACGGAGACCTCCGAAACAGCTGGTGATCTTATCTGGCATTTGATTAGACCAAGTTTGACAGCTGAATTTGTTATATATATCAGGGGAAAAAGCGGGACTTTGGAAACCACAGCTGTCAGCCCATTTCTCACCTTATCGAAACTAAAAGGGCTCCGCAGCTTTCATCGAAGCCCAGGGAGGTTGGGGGCAGGGAAGAATATTTGGCCGTTTCGGAAGGTATGACATTATCCAGCAAGTAATCTCAGAAGAGGTCTCACAATGCTTCTCTCAGGCCCTACAGATGTACTTTAAACCATAGAAGAAGAAGGTGGTGAAGGGCAGCAGTGAAAGGCAGAAATGAATCAACCGCTGACGTGAAAGGCCACCGGTGGCAGAGCACAAAGGCCGTCACTCAACTTCGGTTCCCTTCCTCCTTCCCCGTCCCCCTCCCCACTTTAAAACCAAAGGCAGAGCGAGCAGAGACAGCTCCTGCCTGAGCAGGAGCCCCGGTGTGCTGAGACGCCAGAATTGCCCGGCCTCTTACCTAGCAGAAAGTACTTCAAGATCTGCTTCAGCATCTCCTTCTGGATCTCCGGGTGGGTGATGGAGTTCAGCAGCTGCCGTTTCTCCGGGTGGGAGAAGATAATGTTTCCTAGAGCCTCACGATTTATCTCTCCATTCTCGAAGAGGATCTCGGTGCCAAAGTAATGCACTATCTGCCGATAGGCCTTGAAGTGTGGCTGCACCACTGATAACATTAAACAGCCAGAGGTTAGAGCCAGTTCTACAGCACAGTCGGTGTTTGCATCAGCAATCGGCCTCAAATGAGTTTTGTTCAGTAT